TTCCTTCATAAGACAAGTTGGATCACACAAGTGGACCACACAACAAGTGAATCATATGAACCAAACACCAGCCAGAATGGTCCACAAGAAGTGACGCATATTAACCAAACACCAGCCAGTGTCGTCCACACAAGTGAACGATTGAGTTTCAATGATTTTCGTTCACTGATTTGTGGCACACGTATCTTTGTAAATTAATTTAAAAGCTGAAGCGTGAATAGCTAGCTAATGTGTTGAAATTTTCTTATATACATTTTCTGTGATGAAACAAGATGAGTGAGGGTGGACAGATAAGGGAATACTGTACAGTAAACCTCACTTTACAGTGAGGTTTCACTCACTTTCGTCTGTGTTGTCATAGTTCAGTGACCCATGACTTTGAACGTTTCACATTAATAAATCGTTTCTAAAACTGGTGTTTTAACTTAATAACTCTTTATTATCCAAATTAAACTAAACTAAATAAAATAAAAAATATATTGTAATATGATAGATATCTGCTATTTCAGAAATTATTCATGTTTATTGGCGGCACAACTCCAGCACGAGTGGACGGGTCTAATCCCTGTCCACACAACACCATGCTTTTGTTTGATTTTGTCGCCACAGTTCAGTGATCTATGGCTTCGAAATAATAAAATTAATAAATCAGATCCAAAGTATTTTTTATAGCTCTTATTACCGTAATAATGTTGCTAAACTAAATATGTAACCCAAAAATATATAATTTGATGTAAATCGAATTTTTGAGAGATATTTATGTTACTGGAAATCGAACACAACACCAGGCGTATTTTGTTCGATTTCGTCGCCACAGTTCAGTGACCTACGGCTTCGAAATGATAAAATTAATAAATCAGTTCCAAAATAAGTATTTTTTATAGCTCTTATTATCGTAATAATGTTGCTAAATTAAATATATAACCCAAAAATATATAATTTGATGTAAATCAAATATTTAAGAGAAATTTATGTTACTGGATCTGGCTTAAACACCAGCCTACTGAAGGCTGTACGTATAGACTTAGTCTGCGTTCGTACAGTATGCACCCAGTGCCCTTAGCTTTGTCTGCGATTGACATACAGTATTTATCCGCCGGTGGGAGAATAATTGTGGAATTAACCATTTTTTTACTACAGCTCTCTGGTTATAAAACAAAATGTCTCAGGGGCTTACTAATAGTGCCTTATTAATGCCAAAAATGAAGTAATATTTTGCAAGAACTAGTAGCAGAAAATCAACCAGCACTAGCACAGCCGTACCCAGTACGAGAACAGCCGTACCCAGCACGAGAACAGCCGTACCCAGCAAGAGAACAGCAGTACCCAGCAAGAGAACAGCTGTGCCAAGTATGAGAACAGCCGTACCCAGTACGAGAACAGCCGTACCCAGTACGAGAACAGCCGTACCCAGTACGAGAACAGCCGTACCCAGTACGAGAACAGCCGTACCCAGTACGAGAACAGCCATACCAAGTACGAGAACAGCCATACCCAGTACGAGAACAGCCATACCCAGCACGAGAACAGCTGAACCCAGCACGAGAACAGCCGTACCCAGCATGTGAACAGCCGTACCCAGCACAAGCACAGTTGTACCCAGCACTGGTACAACAGCAGCCAGCACCAGCTCAGAAGCAGCTGAACCCACAGCAGCAGCGAGCACCAGCAAAGCTGATGCAAACATCTAAAAACATCGTGTGTGGCGTGAACAGTTAGAACAAGTGTTAAATTTAAGTGTGTACACAGTGTTAAAATTAAAGTTGTCGTAATTTTAGTGTACAATAGTTTTCATAAACTGTATTGTAGTACTCAGTATACAGCAGAACTACTTTTAATCAACACAGTGCTAACGGCATAATGCACTGCAGTACGTATTTACTGTACAGCATTCACAACTTCACGAAACTTCAAGATGGACATAACTTCAACAATAAGGTAAATTTATGAATTACAGTATTTTTTAGTAGAGAAGTAATATATAGGTACAGTATGTAATATGATAATGCATTTTTATTGTGTACAAGAAAAAAAAAAGACACTGACACAAACGCCTCCTGAAGGTCACCTCTTGCAACGAATCCAAAGCTTCAACGAACTGGGGTTGGTCCCATATAGTACGTTGAATCGAGGTTGTACTATAGTTGTGCTGTGTCTCTTGTGTGTTTGTTTTCCTGGGGTGCTCCCTCTTTCCTTCTTGGTGCCAGTTTTTCTTTACTTCTCCTTAGGTAAATAGCTTAAGGAAGCACCAAGGCTCTTCCAGACAGAGGCATTTCATTTCATTCAATGCTGGGGTTTTGTTTTCCCTTGACTTGTAAATTAGTTATGAAACTGTAATATCTTGCTGAATAGAAGCTAACTTGCAACACAGTTTAAAAATGGCAGAAACTGTAAATACCTAAATTTAAATATAATACAGTAATGCATAAAATAAAATCATAGTAAGATTTGAAGAAAGTGGGTACTAAATTGACTGGGATAAAGAAACACAAGACAACACAACGACAACTAACGATAGCACAACGACAACCATAACCGACCAGACAACGGACCTCTCATGCATCTAGCACTGCTGGGTGGGTAAAAACTGAGCAGAAGACTAGCTTCATTCTAGATTGTCACACCCCACTCCCATCTTGGTACTACTGTATATACCGAGAAGAGACAGTAGGCAATCTCCAGTGATGCGGTAGTTATTGAGAGATTCACTATCATTATGATCAACCGCATCAATGTCTGGTTTCGTGATGAAACCAGATACACCAGGCCCAAATTACTAAGGAAAATTGTTGACATCACGAATGCAGCTCCATTGGACATCCGAGACAATGCCGACGGTGCTGTACTTCTCTATTCAAGCGAGGAAGCTCTGGAGCAACTGTTTGCACCAGAACACCAGGACGCCCTACGTAACTCCAAATTGATCATCACTCCAACTCGACGATACTTGGCTGAACGATCCATCTTTGTCAGCCACACGAGTGCTTACATCGCCACCCAGAACCCTGACACCATACTTGGCATCAACTCCAGAAACCCTGCTCTGACTGCAGCTAAAGTCAAAGTCATCAAGAACAATGACAGCCCAAGGCCCACTCTCAAGGTCACCTTCACACCAGCTACTACAGCGACCCAGGCTGTGGAAAATGGATTGAGATTCTTGGATATTTCTATTACACCCGACACTGTCAAGAAGGAGCATTATTACATCATACGCCAATGTTTTAAATGTTACAAATACGACCTCGATACCAGGAATTGCTCAGAAGCAGAGGCAGAGTGCAGCATTTGCACCCAAAACCATCACTTCAAAGCCTGCCAGTCATCCAGCAAATTGTGTCCCAATTGTGGAGGAGCTCACACCGTTGTCTCCATGGACTGCCAAGTACGACTTGATGAAATCTAGAAAACAGCAACTGCCAACCCAACAACCAATCAGCCGGCGAGCTTCAATATTCAGGCTACGTCGTTCCCAGTGCTCCCCATCGCTTCTGCTTCTCCTACACAGACGTCCACACCAGGCCAGCCCCTCCCCCCCCCCATGGGGACCCAGCACACAGACGACTGCAGTCCAGCCAGCCAGCTCTCCAGTCAACCAATCATCGGTCTCGGCCAACACCACTCCCATCCCTTCCCTGGTCAGTGTAGCTGAGAAGGCGGCAGGAATAGACATCACTGAATACGTGTGAGTACTGAACTTGCTGCTCGCCCAGAACAACCTACCTAAGATGTCAATCCCAGCAGACCTGCTGCAGCCTCAAAATGCTGTTTCAACCCAAACAGACCAGCTTCCAACACCACCAGCAACCGAAACCATACCACTACCACCCCCTCCTGAGGCGGTTCCAACACCAGTGTCAGCAACTCCAATTACCCAGACATCAACTTCCATCCAGCCCGCCTCCACCCAGCACCATTCAACCCAACATCCAATGGAAGCCTCAACACCTACCGTCAACAGGTCCATGAAACTGGCGAAAAGGAAGGCAAATCACCAACAAGTAGAACCAGAATCAGAATCGGAACCAGATCCACTACCAGCGAAACCAATTGATCCAGTCGAGATGGCATAGGTCATTACATATGTAGCACCAGACTTTGATCCAAACCCAAGCAGCTCAAGCAAGAAAAAACACTATTTTGGCCTCTTCCTCCATGATAAGGGCGAATTCATTGGCAACAGCAGCACAAGAATCGTCATTGCCTTAAATCGCAACCGGATCATCAACCAGCTCAAGACCTGCCCTTCCTTCCCTCACCCTATGTCGGTCCGCCACGAGACTGTGGAACAATATGTAGACCACACCGCTCTGAAAAGAGAATACATCGACCCGAAATTCAACTTCAAGAAAGGACAAATGCCCTTTCTGGACAAATATGAATCCCTGATTGGAACTCCAATACCCTCGCTGTCATTTGGGAAGTGCATGTGAATACCTCCCTGTCCAGTCACCACCAAGCAACAGTGAACTTACACCTCACCATTTCAATAGGGATGATGCCTCCATGCCAGACAGAACATCTCAACTGAACTAGGATGACATCACATCGCCTCACCACTTGCCTCCTGCAGCCTAAGAACTCAAGCTACAGGCTTCGACCAAAAAAACATCTCCAATCCGTGGTGGAAAGGCCACCGAACTTTCAAGCCTCCTTTCTCCACATCCAGATCCTCTTCCAAGAATTTCATCACCCCATCCTTCTTCCTCCACATCCTTTCCAAGCTCTTTGGACATCAAAGAAAAAATTGACTGGCCTGAAGTGAGGGTGGCAGAAGGAAAAATTTTATGGAAGAGTAGAGGGCCAGAAAAGTGGGCCAAACACACCACAGTGATGTCTAGATGGGACCAGACTGTGAACCAAATATGTCCAGACAGTGCTCAAAACATGGAAGATGTATTCGGATCCATTTTGCCTTCATTATTATCGAATATTATAAATTTTTTCTTTTCTTATAACAGGCTCTAATATAAGTGTCTTAAAAATCATTAATTTTTCAGGTCTCCAGACATGTCACGGGCAGGAGCTAAAATGCGGGTGATGAAGAAAGCGGTGGAGAAGGTGAAGCACGGTAGCATAATGCGCACGAACATTCCTGCTGGCATGGCTGTTGCTGGCCCTCCCCTTGGCCCTATGTTAGGACAGGTAGCTATACAGTATGGTTTTCTAAGATCTTTTCTGTGGGGAGCCTTGTTGCCTCCCTGAAGCTATCGAACTCCTATGTGCTATATTAGTTTTGGGTCATCAGTCACAGAAGTCCTTATGCCTACCAGGGACCATGAGCCAGAACCTGGCCCCCCTCAGAGAGGCACAGGGAGCAATGGCCTATGAGCATTTTACATTTAAATTACAGTATGTCATACTTGGGAGGACGGGCTGCATACTTGCCATCGACAGGGGAAGAATCCAGAAAGGTAGGCGAATCAAAACAGACCACTGTCTGGTTGAAAATTGTGAACTACGTCCTCAAAAAAGAAAAAAAAAAGAAAATAAAACTCCACCAGAAAGAAAACAAACAAACAACACTAAATCCAACTGGTCCCTTGCTCATTAGCACTACCCCCCTCCTCCCATGGAGGGGGTGGGGGAGCCGGTCCAGGTGAGCCGGCAACCCACCAATTCATTTCTTAAACTGATGTACTGGCAGTCGGATGTTCCTGCACTTGTGATGTGTGTTGGCTAGGTGTATTAGTGTACTGGAGCTGCAAGCGCCTAGGGACACCTTCCCTATGTGCTCTGTAAGTACTGCCCTTGCGTTTCAGGGTTATCTTCCCTGGGGCATTCGGGACTCGCTCCCCGTTGAGGAATTCCTTGCTTGTGGTTGTCATCGCCCTTGGGGTACGTTGGGGGGTCATTGGGCTTTCCCCACTTGCTCTGTGCAGGAGTGTTGTGATTTTCAACTGGTGGGGCACACTGTAGCTAGCACTCTCAGCTATACGCTGTCATTCGGGGAGCCAATATTTTTCACTAGCTGCTAGTTTGCGAGTTGTGTGGGTTTCAGGGGATTTTGTTTTGTTTGTTGTTCATGGCAGTTTTACCTGTTATGGAGGAGGTCTGCTTAGCCCTTCATTAGGCTTTGCCTAGGGTGTGGTGGTGGTAGTCCTCTGTTTCCCCTGAGGTTTCACAGCTGCTACTTCTAGTTGGTTTGCCTGCTTAGACAGGGTTTACCAGTTAGCTGGCCCAGTGCCTGGGCTTCCTGTAGAGCTCATTCACCCTGCTTTCCCTGAAAACTTCAGTGGGTTCGATTGTACAATGGTACCTCTTCCAAGTCTGCTCTCACCTTGAGCGAATTTGTAGGGTCCTCGTTGCCCCTGCCTCTGGGTGACACCTCCAACCCGTAGTCCTGGGGACTCTTTTTCCCTGCATAGTCTGTAGTGCAACGTGTTAAGTTCTGTACCCGTTTGGAAGCCCAAGAGCTGCCCCGCTTGGGTTTTATTGCTTCAGTCCGCATCTCGTGGGTGTGTTCCTCTTTTTTTTCCTCCCCTCCCCCTTCCCCATCCTGCTGCCAGCTCCTGGATGTCTGTGGGTTTTGGTGTCGGAGCAGGGTTTAGCTTGGGGTGAGTCTCGGGTGGCTTCAGGGCCCCCCCCCCCCTTTCGATAAGGGTGCGGAGGTGGTTGAGCTGCTTCTGCCTGCCGAGGCTTCCGAGTCTCTCCAGCCGACTCCCTTCTTCAAAGCTTTCACCCTGGACTCTGCCTTTCATTTTGGCGAGGTGGGCATGGGTGAGGGCTCTGCCCTGGGGCTTTTGTCTATGGTTTTTGTGGCTCGGTGGGGTCCGAGTGGAGCTCTTGGGTTCCGTTTGACCCCACTTGGGCCCTTGTGCCCTCTGAACAGGGGCTTCTGCTAGGGAAGGGGTTTTCATGCCCCTCCTTCCCTCTCTGAGTTTGTATTCGGCAGGACTCCACACCGAGTTTGTTTCCGGGTGCCTTTAGGTTCCTCAGATGTGCCATTCCAGAGGTTTTCTTCCTCTTGGCTTTCCCCCTGCGGAGAGGTTCAGGAGGTGCTCAGTGCTCACCCCCTATGGGACCCAGTTCAGCTTGGGTCCTGACTCGTCAGTCTTCACCATTTTTTTTTTCCCTAAGGACTGTGTTGTCTCTAGTTTTTGTTGGCAGCTCTCTAGTTTTTGTTGGGTCACTCTCGGCCCTCCTGGAGGGGTTGGGCCAGGGCTTGGGCTTCATAGGGTTGGGATAGGTCGGTGGTGTCCCCGGTACCTTCTTTGTCTGATCACGCAGTGTTCGCCCAGCACAGAGTTCGAGCTCTTGGCAATCGCTTTAGTCATTTCGCAAGTTGCTCTTTTGACAGAGCATGAGGGGAGGCCTGTCTCTCTTTGCCCGTGCTTGGTCCCACGATTCGTAGCCTTTTCGAGTCGTTTCTTGTGACCTTCGGTGGCGTTGGGTAGACCTTCCTCCCTTCAGGGGATGAGGTCTGGGGGATAGACTTCTTCCCCGTCCATCCATCAGGTCTTCTCGGAATGGGTTTGCTTGGGCGTGGTCGTCACGACCTCATCTCTCAGGTGGGTTTCCTGCCTGTTTCCAGTTCCAAATCGGGACTGTGAAGATCTCCGGTACATTCCGGACTTATCATTTGCACCTGTTGACACTTTGTCCCTTCTTTTGAACTTCTTCGTTGTTTCGGGTCCAGCTCGTTTTAGATTCCGGGCGCTTGGATGATTTCCCTGGACTTCTGGGACTTTTTTGGCATATCCCTAGCCTTCCGGGGGTTCAGGGATTGGTTAGGTTTTGTGGTGGGGTGACAGGCTTACCACTTTCATTGTTTCCCTTTTGGGCTGAATCTGGCAGCTTGCGTTTTACGTGTTTGACTCGGACCATAGTGGCCCATCTTTGTCTGCTAGGTCTACGAGTCTCGGCCTACCGCGAAGACTGGTTGGTATGGGCTCCAAGCCGGTCTGCTTGCCAGGGATCTGGTTCTTTCTCAGTTCTTCGGGTTCCTGGTGAACTGGTGGAAATACCAGTTCTGTCCCAGGTTCGAACTTGGCTGGGCCTTTTGCGAGATTTATACGAGGTTGATGGTTGCTCTGTCCCCTTGTCTCGGGGTGACAGTCACCGGTTGTGCCTCCGCCATGCTGCCTGTCGAGTTGGTGATTCTTTTGACCCAGAGTCGTGCGACGTTTGTTCTTTGTACGTGCTCCAGTTCACCCAAGCTACTGAATATGATAAGAGGGGTGCAGGCAGCAGAGGCATTGCATGCACAGTTTAGGTTGTTGCAACGCAATAGGTTCGTTGCTTCCCTGGATGCCCTGAAACTGCCCCGTTTTGGTTATAGGGACCTGGACTTGGTGGTGGGAGTTGCTTCGACTTTGGTTTCATCTGCCTCTCCTTGTCCTTTCCCTTCACTGGTTCATCCGGTTCCCTTCCCCTAGCTTTCAGCTCCGAAACGTCTGAGGATTTCGGGGGCGGGGGAGGGTTTAGTTGGTGTTGAGACTCGGGCAGTCTCTGGGTAGTCCCCTTCCGGAGTGGTGGCAGAGGCATTCGAGCGTAGTCCTCCAGCTGGAATTTTTGGGTCTGACCAGTGGGCCTCCCCTTCGTTCCTGCTTTCTTGGCTATTCTTGCCTTTCCTTTAGCGGCAAGGGGTTTGGAGGATGGCTTGGCCCCATTGGACCCCGCCTGGGTTATTGTACCCCTCGGAGTGAGGCTAGGTGTTACAAAGAGAGAGGTTTTCCTTCGCTCCCTCCTTGTATGAATTGGATTTGGCATCTTCCCCTTCCCGGGTTCGATTCCATGATCACGTGGGTTCATCGATCCCATCTTCTGGAGGTTTTCGGCTTCCTGCATCCTGTCACATGTAGTCTTGACCTGCTGCTTAACACTTTCGCTCGGCGACAACTCATCATTGAGTCCTTCTTTAAATAGAGGGAAGTCTGGTAAGGACTCGGCATTGAGTCCTCGGCAGTAATTGGCGGGCGGCAAATTGGTGGCGGCTTCGGGAGGGGTGCACCGCGGTTTTGGACATTATATGCATATTCTCCACTAGGGAATTTCATTGTGAATACAATGATACCAAAATGAAAGACTTAGGATCAGAATTGAGGTAACAAAGTTGAAAAGAGTATTCCCATTTTATTGCTCTTTATTAGTGCTCATTGGGGTAACACTCCGTCACTTTTTCTGTTTGCTGTGGGTGGTACGCCAGGCTTTTGGACTTTATATTTGCATATACTCCTGTAGGGAATTCTATTGCGAACACAATGATACCAAAATGAAAGACCTAGGATGAGAATTGAGATGTCCAAAGTGAAAAAAGTGAAGTGAAGAGAGAGCTCTTGCGCGCTCCTGGGTAAGGCACACTCACTTTCTCGCCGGGCTTTTGGGCTTTATATTCATTTAGTCCTGTAGAGAATTTTATTGCGAACACATTGATACCAAATTGAAAAACCTAGGACGAGAATTGAGATGACAAAGTTGAAAAGAGTATACACTTCTCAGAATTACCGCGCTCTCTAATGTAATGAGAGGCGCCTTGGGGTGGCACAGCGCTCTCTTTCTGGTAACCGCGGCCTGTTTTCATCATGTCGGCGGGTGGAGCACGCTGCTGTTTTTGACATTACAGGGATACCTCGGTTTAAGAGTTTAATCTGTTCCTGGAGACGGCTCATAATCCGAAAACTCGTAAACCGAAGCTAATTTCCCCATAAGAAATAATGGGAAATGAATTAATCCGTTCCTGACTACCCAAAAATCTCACTTCAAACTAAATTTTATACCTAATTCATCTAAATCTACACTACAAAAGTATGTTCAAGTTATTACCCTTGCTGATGACTGCTGTTGGCATATGGAAGATGGTGAGGAGAGGTTACTGTTTGGGAGGGGAGTCCCCTTCCATTATAACATCGGGCAGTGAGGACTAACTCCTAAATTCTTCAATAAATCTTTCAGTCGCTGGTTTGTCTGAGCTGGCAGCCTCCCCATGCCTCACAACACTGTGAATACCACTTCTTTTTCTAAATTTTCAAACCATCCCCTACTTGCCTTAACCATTGTGATGCGCCGAATTTATCAACAATACGTGCACCATTTTCAAGCTTCTGAATGATCTCTTGTTTTTCCTCTATTGTCATCCTCGCATGCAATTTCTTGCCTTGAACCTTACCACTGGCTTTCTTGGGACCCATTGTGAGATATATAAT